GCAGCAGCAGTAGCACTCGTAATAGTATGAGTATTGGTATTAGTAGTAGATGGTAGTGGTAGTGGTAGTGGTAGTGGTAGTGGTAGTAGTAGTAGTAGTAGTAGTAGTAGTAGTAGTAGTAGTAAGCAGCAGTAGTAGTAGTAGTAGTAGTAGTAGCAGTAGCAGTAGTAGTAGTAGTAGTAGTAGTAGTAGTAGTACTAGTAGCATTATTATTATTTTGCAATTTTTTGTAGTAGTACTCTTAGCAGTAGTAGTAGTAGTAGTAGTAGTAGTAGTAGTAGTGGTAGTAGTAGTAGTAGTAGTAGTAGTAGTAGTAATGGTAATAATCATGTTTTAGGCAGTAGTCGCCGTGGTCGTCGTCGTCATGGTCGACACCACGTAGTAGGCACTAGCCGCTGCTACCATCATTTGAGAAAGTCATAACCATTGTGAACAACAGCTGACCTGAACATGAAACTGTTGATTATTCAATTTATGTGACCAGATTTGTCGGCAATGCTTCGTTCCATATTGTCAAAGCTGAGGCTGATCTTCCTTGTTCATGATCTGCTTTCCTGATTTCATCGCGACATCACATCTTTCTTCCTTGTGACTGTTCCCATCTCCCTGCAGAGAAAGCGTCCGCAACGGACGCCACAGGCTGAGGAGCCGCATGCTATCCTTGGAAAGCACGGCAGGTATTTACAAGGTGAAAACTTGTGCTAAGAAGGGGTCCATGAACTGTTCGGCTTCCGTGTCGAGAGTGTTGCATTGAGGGCCGAAGACACTTAGAAAAAGGGTTTGGAGCTTCGGCTTTTTGTGGGGATTCGTTGGGAGCTTGGCTCCTTGATCCTTCGAGCCATGTAATTAGAGACGCGAACAAAGCTTTCTGAACCCTTACTGAGCAACATTGGATTCTCTCCCCATTGCTTTTTGCATCTGTTCTTAAAGGAGCCAGGTAATCCGGTGGAAGCAGGCTAAACAACTTGTTCGTACACACCCAGTTGCTGTCATACGCGTTTATCAGGGTCTCTTATCGGTTCGTAGAAGTGTGTCGCGGTGGCTTGGTCGTCGTGGTGCGGTCGTCGCGGTTGCAGTTTTCGTGGTGGGTTCCGGTCCTGGGTGGCGGTCGTCCCGGCCGTTCGTGGTCGTCCTTGTATCATTGGAGTGTTTACAGTACATTGTGGTCACTGTTCGGAGATCTGCGTTGGCATAGTAAGTATTCCAACCCTATACTACCCTGAACTTCCTCAAAACGAGAAACGCCTGAGCAAAGCCTTGGAAAACCCCTTTAACCTAGCTAGAAGATCCCAAAAGCCTTTAAACTCAGAATCCCCATAAGGAACCTCAACAGGAACCCTAAAGGGAGCCCTAAAAGGATCCTTTTGGGTTTCTGGAAGAACTGCCAAACTTTGTCACAGCTCGGGGCGCGCGATACCGGTCTTGGCCTTGAGCAGGGACAGCCGGCCCTGGGTGCACACGACCTGAAGTCAATTGAGGCTTAGGGTTAAGGGTTTGAGGCTTAGGGTTTAGGGTTTAATGACGTTGAGGATCATTGATGAAGAAGCTGAAGCTGCGGGTTATTTGGGGTACTATCGCCGTGGTTTGGGGCAAGGGCTCCGGGTTTAGCGCTCAGTTTCCAGATTCGGGTTTAGGGTGATGAAACCCAATATGCCCGAACAATGGTCAACGTCTTGTACCCTAAATAAGCCCTGCTACAACGCCTTGAGACCGAAAGCCCTCAACAGCAAACTGATATTATATGGGACTTAATTGCTTGAATGGGGCTTTGGGTGCAATAGATGAAACCTGAAGAATAATATCGGTATTTGTTCAGGCCCCTAAACCCTAAACCCTAAACCCCTAAACTAACAAAGCTTGGGCCTCTGTTTCGTTCGTGAAGACCAGCCTCCGTGTCAGGTCTCCTCGGGCATCGTCACAAGCGTTTCTATGAGGGCTGTGTAAGGAGGGTTTAGGGTTTAGGGTTTAGGGTATTTTTATACGGGTCAGATAAGTCAGAACAGGGGTTGGGGGTATATTGTGGTTTGACTATGCCAGAACGATAGAGGATGTTCTTACTATGTGTTCTGGCCTCCATAGCGGGGTGTGTGATTTGAACAAATGCTTTCTTTTGACCGCTTCGAAACCACCGACATCCCAGATGACCAGTGTTGAGCGGATACAGGGCTGTAGACAACTGAGTCGGCCCCGAATCCTACCAAATGCTTCCAAGAACCTTATAGTTGGGCCCTGGGCCCCTCTAAGGACCCAATAACGAATAGGGCTACTGGTTCAAGCCGAAATGAAAAGCCTTTGCAGCCATCTTGAAGACAGTCAGGCGTCCATCGAACCATTCCATGAAGCTCGCAATGATGCCTTCCTGAATCGTCGAGTTTTGCTGTCAGGGTTCCAGGGATTCAACGTTTGGGGTATACGGATGCCTGCAAAAAAAGGGATTCCAAAAACCCTCAACTGTGCAAAACCCAAAACTCAGGGGCTGAGTACCCTAGCCCAAAAAAGGTTAACCTTTTGAAGTATAGTAGGATTATATCAGCCCCAAAAGGTTAAAGGCTCCCTACTCAGCCCCTGAGAAAACGAGAAAGACTAGCGGCAGAAGATCCAGGAGAAGGTGCCCATACTGGAAGTTCCTTGGTGGATGTTACTCGCCGGTGTCTTAAGCTAGAGAGGATTACCGGCTTGCGGCGTCAAGGTTTAGAGGTGTGTCACAGTGCCACGGCGCGCTTCACCCATGGAGTGGTCGTGGGTCGCGCCGTCTTCGTACCGTGGAACCCACCCGCAACCACCCGAAGCAGGACGTAAACGGGCTTGATTTTCTGCTCCCACTTACCTGCGCATCGTCGTCGGGCATGCATCACAACCGCAACGAGGTGTTCAGGCAGTCGGTGTCGATCAGGACATGTCGTGGCGCGTTGCTCACTGTCCCTGCCAGCCAGGATCGTCCGCTTCGGCCAGCGCCCGGTCCCGTGCAGTGCCTTGCGTTTTCTGCCGGACCAGACGTTCCTGCGCCGTCCCTGCCGTTTTTCCGCCAGCCACCCGTGCCGGAAAGGTTTCTGGGGCCGGTCTCGTCCGCCAAGGGCGCTTTAGGTGTTTTTGCCAGAGCCGTGGGGGCCGTCTCTGCGATCCATGGCAGTCTTGGAAATGGCAAACACAATCTGCTTGTTGGCACAACAGGCGGTGAATTCGGTACCGGCCTGGCGCTGGTGGCCAGTCGGCCAATGCTTTATGAATATATTCGGGACACTTCAGGCACCCAAGACAGCAGCTCAGCATGAGGATGCCGTGCGTGCGAGTTTTCAATTCTCCTTTGGAAGCACTTCGCCCCCTGGTGCCCATTTACAGCTCGAAACCCATGAAGACAGCTTAAACGCTAGCTACTTCTTATCCACGTCAGCATTGCCACGATCCCACTGACTCTGAGCATGATAGCTATAGCTGTGATCACTAGGTTGATGGCCAAAACTGCGTGCATTGCCTTCAGTACACCAAAACTGTCGGAACTGTGGCATATATCGCTTTCAGGATAGGTCAGGTTGTTGTCCATCAGCACTACGAGTCATTATTATTATTATTATTCTTATTATTATTATTATATATATATATAGAGGGTTTACCTCGAGTCAGAGCCCAGAGTCTGTGGGGAGAGGTGTCGGTAGAAGGCAACGGGCCCGGAGAGTTCCAGGTCACAGTCCGGGGGTCCTCAAGGGAAGCGCAGCTTCTTTGGGACGTAAGATGTAGGAGTTGTAGGGTTTAGGGTTTAGGGTTCAGGGTTTAGGGTTTAGGGTTTAGGGTCCTCTTTAGACAATGAGAAGGTAAAGTCAAGAGCCGCAGAGGGCTGAGGAGAGGCAGACAGATTTCTTCAGCCACGGTTCTTTCGTTATTCAGCTCCTAGGCCAGAATTTGCAACAGCCATTGTCACGGGAATGTTGCTGATAAGATTATTCCTAGGCCCTAGGCGTATGGGTTGTGCTGCTGCGATATTTTGCTGCTGCGATATTTTCAGCAGGACGAGGAGGAGGAGTAGGAGTAGTAGGAGTAGTAGGAGTAGTAGGAGTAGTAGGAGTAGTAGTAATAGCAGTAGTAGCAGTACAAGGGCAAGTACTGCAAGGGCTAGTACTGTTGCTGCCACCGCGATTTTTATGCTTCCCCGCCGAGTCCTGTTAGGAAGGGGACGGTCAGGCCGGAGAAGATCGAGGCACTACCTGGCTGGGAAGGATGGGATTTCCCCGCACAAAAATGTCGTCATCAGGCCGCGGTCAGGGTAAGTGCCGCAACAGAGCAACCATCACAATGACCATACTAGATTGAACTTGTGAATACTTCGACTGGTGTAAAGGCTTCTCTGCCACGAGTGGCTCGGGTCCCTGTCAGTGTGTAAAATTCGACAGGAACATGTCGACGGTTTGCAGACGTGTCGCTATCATTGGTCCATACCTCGGTTCGCCATTCCAGGTAGTTCGGGCCATGCTCCGAAAGAATGAACCTCAGGGCAGCCATCGGCAAGGAAAGCCTATCTTGAACCTCTGTGGATTGATCAGGTTATAACATACTTCCCATGATGCATGGTGCTGCAGCCTTGGGTTGCTCAACCATTTAGTGTGGTTAAGTGCTCTGCTTCGCGGTTTGTCTTCTGGAGATTGGTGTTGAAAGCTTCAGCGCTTTCACGGCCCATGTGCAAATTATCGGCGGCCGCAGGTTGAAACCCTTAGCCACGAGTAATTGAGAAGGACATGTTCAAACTGCCCTCAGACACCACACAATCCCAAACAGTTGAATTGAAGCAAAACAACTCTGGATCCTAGAGTCGTACGTAGGTCGTAGAGTCCTAGAAGCCCAAACATTAAGTCTCAACAGAAATCCTACCGCCCAGTGCCGGCCCAAAACCCAGGAATCCTGTGTGCGAGGGGAACCAAGGACTCATGGCTTCTGTGGGTGAACGGTGGAAGATGAAATGCTCTTGTTCACGTCGTGGGGTTGGAGGCTCTTCCACCGCATGGGTGTGTTGGGTTGGGGGCGGGGAGTAAGGAGTAAGCCTAAGCCCTAAACCCCAACACCTAAACCCCAGAGTAAGTAGACTTGAGGAGTCTATCTTCATCTGCGTTTGCTTCTCACAACCCCAAACCCTTAAAGTGACCCTGAAAGGAACTTTTATAGTAGACTCACAGCAGACATAGAGCACACTTAGAGCTCAAGGCTTTGCCCAGCTCCTGCCTCAAAGACCGTAGAAATCCTCCATAAAGCGGGGACCCCAAAATCTCCACCACCATAGGGAAATAAAGCGACAAATTGCAGAAACTTCGTCAACAGCACAGCTCACATACGCTGGACCCTGAACCCTCAACCACTCAACCCTACGCCCAGGCACCATGTCAGCGTGGTTGATGACTTTCCATGGAAGTGAAGGATGAAGCTTTATCTTTCGCAGCTGAAGGTTGGGGTAAGATCAACCGTATGCCCCTAAACTGTCTGGTGCTGAGTATAGGGAATGGGGGAATGGGTTATAGGGACTACTATAAGGGACCTTAAGGGACTATTATAGGGATCCATTCCCCCATTCCCTACTAAGCACCAGACAGTAAACCCTGAACCGTGTTGAGGTTGGCTGGCCCAAAAGACTTGGATGTTGGACTAGTTCCCACCAAGGGGCCGGAACCGGCCGCCCAAAACGGAGACCAATTCAAAGGTCCTGGGAAGGACCGGGTTTTAGGGCTCCTGGGTCAATCATGTGGTTTTGCCAACTGAATGTTGGGGCCTTAATGATTAGAACAGGACTTTGCGGTATATTATACTTTAATTGTTATAAGGAGCCCACAAAATAGCATAGGTAATTACTAAGGCCGCTATATTACCCTCACTTTAGTGATCGTCACCACCAATGAGAACAAGATACTCCGTGTCGTGATGACTAACAGCCAATCTGAGCCTCAATATTACATACTACGAAATAACAGAGTGCAATATAATATGATATACTATAGTATAGTATAAGATAGTAATAAAGAACTATAAGGTACAGGGATGGGTCTTGTGTTGGTAGGTGTCTGGGTGCTCCTCAGCCCTAATGCCCGAAAGGCTCATCCCCAAACCCTGAAGCCCCTTCAACGCGGAATCCAAGGCATCGACGATGGCATAGTTGGGACTTTGACATCTCGGTGTTAGGAAACCTCTTGTGGCCTCTGGTTGACGAACTTCATTAATCATAGAAAGGATACCACCTTCTGTACCAAATCTTGCTAGTGCAGCAACTTCAACTCAATTCCTTGTTCCATTTTAAAACCCTCTTTCAAGCCCTAAACGAAACCTAGATCACCACAACAAAACCCCATTAAACTGAACCCTTGCAAGGTCCCCATAAGATCCTTCAAACATGACCCAAAGAACACCTGATTACATCGTTGTGCAAGACTTTAAGCATGAGTCCCAGTCTGCAAGCTATGGGCCTCAAACAAGACATAAGTCTAAGTGCAATAAGCCCCAAACAAAGGCTTCACTATAAAGGGGTGTATGAGGGACATCCCTGCCCTATCAACGTTTCCCCAGCCTTTTGCCTGTTCAACACTGTCTGGTGCTTAGTAGGGAATGGGGGAATGGATCCCTATGATCGTCCCTTAAGGTCCCTTATAGTAGTCCCTATAACCCATTTCCCCATTCCCTACTAAGCACCGGACAGATCAATGCTTTCCCCAGCTTTTGCCTATTCAACAAGCTGCTGCGAAGCGGCTCAGCCACTGCTCGCGTCGCCCCGGAGGCAACCATGCGGAAGAAAAGGTGCCAATTTCGGTGAACCACTCCTGGGGGTTGAGGGTTTAGGGGTTTAGGGGTTTAGGGGTTTAGGGGTTTTGGCTCTTAGGCTTTGAGGGTTTTAGAGTCCAGGGTAGCAGGGTTGAGGCCCCAAAGCACCAAAAACAACGCCAACCGTATTCGATACAGCAGCAAGAGAAAGCATGCACACAGCCGTGATGGCACGGACAAGCATGATGAAAAGTTTGGCTGCATTCAATTATTGACAACAAAAGTGTCCAATCTGCGGATACTGTCACAACACTGACGAGGAGCTCGGCACCGGGAGTGTCCACGATACACGTGGTGCATAACAGTTGCAAAGCAACGCACCAAAAGAAGCAACATAGAAAACAATCATATAATCATATCGCAGTATCACCATACAATATATTGTATTGTACAGCATGGTATACCCCTGCTTCTGCCAGTTCAGATGATGCATGCGGGCGACGCCGCACTAGGGCTGGGTCCACGTAAAGCTCAGCTTGTCCTTGGTCGGCAAAAGCCAAAGCAGTTCGTTCTTACTCATCTGAGGAACATAGGGGCATCAAAGAAGGG